GGAGGTGTAGGCACCTCGGAATGATTGTGTTAAGCTAGGACTAAGTCCCTCCCCGTCCACCTTTACTCTTTTCTTTACAATAAGGCTTTCAAATAAGTCATGGTTGTACGGCAGTAAAGCATCGGTGTCGAACACTGATGTCATGCTGTCGATGATGATGATGTCATAGAAATCGTCCTTGGCAGATTCAGGGCAACAATCAGTTGGGGCGTAAGCAGGCACAATAAACAAGGTGCGATGGACCTCACCTCCTCCAGATTCACAGATGTTGCCAAACTAACCGCACAGAGGCGAATATCAACGGGTATCCAATCAAGCAGAGACGCTTCCACCCGTTCGCTCAGTGCAATACCCACCCCAGCATATCCAACTGCGGCGGCCTCTGCATCGCCAGAAGTGCGCAGCCGGAACTTGGAAAATCACAGTACTTGCGTCCTGCGTCCTTGTTTCTGACAGACAACATAAATCAATGCTGAGGGAATCCAGCGTAGGAGCAAGAGCCACCTTTTCAGTTGTTTGCTTTAGTGTGTGAATAATGAAGGTGGCTAAATAGACAGGCTTTTGAGGTTCGAAAACAGAATTCGAAGTGTTTAGGGTTGTAACTGAACTCGGACGTGCAGAAGCTGCAGCTGAGTGTGATGCAGGGCGAGCAAAACGGCCAGTCATAGAGCTGAGACCTGCGGAGAAAGTATTCGAATTTGGGTGGGGGAGGGTGAAAGAAGGAAAACGTGAAAGTGTAAGAAGGGAGACGTCAGCAGTAGCACGTTTTCGCTTACCCGCCCTGCTGTATGAGGCGACCCGGCTGATGTCATCACGCGACGGCCGATGTGGCATGAGTTTATTTGTGTATGTGCAGTTCATGGTTATACGATGGCTGGGATACTGCCAGGGCGCCCACATCTGGACAGCAGGATTATTAGGGTCCTCAACCAAAGCCTTTGGTTAAAAAGCCTAACCGAAAGGCAGTGGTTTGGGCTGGAAATGCAAGTACAATATCATTTTTATGGAACACTTCGCCACGAATGTTCCAACCCCCAAACTGGAGGGCCAGGAGACTGTGTTCGTCAAACCTCTAACCATGGTATGTGAGAATGTGTGTCGCGCGGGCACCCACCAGTATAGCTCAATGGGTCGCCACACCACGGCAAGGTCTAGTCTCTTCGTGACGGGAATTGATAAACCACTGGTCGTCTAAGTGGTCGGCAAAACCTCAACTTCGTTCAACGAAGGCAGTGTGAAATGCTCTTGGCTTGTAAGCGCGATGTCACGACGATCGAATTTGCTGTCCAGCGGTGAAATTTCCGTTGGGAGTGCACAGGACATCATTGATGGTTGCTGGATGTGAAAATGGCGATCTCAACGAGCCAAACATCGATTCCGTGTAGATACTGAACTAACCATATCGTCCGGTAACTTCCAGAACATCCGCGCAATTAACAGGACTCGATCAGCTTTGTATTTCTGGACCCATGAACAGCGTTTGACTTACCATATAGGACTCTATTCAGGAATGACATAGCCGAATGTCCAACGCCATTATAATTCGAGATCCTTCCCGGTGCACTGTAAGGAGGCACCAGGTCTTATCTGGGTTAAACTTTCCGAGCAAGTTCCTAACCTCTGTGAAGGATGTGATCTGTGCCTGTACAATATGACAAAAATCAGTGTAGTTCGTTCCGCGAAAGACTAGTGAATAAAAGCAGGATTCAGTGTTCTCACTGAGATGATGGCAATTCACAGTGCCGATCACCAGTAACCATTTGTAATTATTTGTATCATTTGTTGTTCTCACCACCGAAGTGCAACAATATTCATGAATGATTGATGAGGCCACCAATCAATTTCTACTACATCTCTAAATATGCCACTCTAACTTGGAAGGAAAGTAAACATCAAGACTAATAATAATAGTGATAATAATAATAATAATAATAATAAATAATAATAATAATAACAATAATCGTCCAGCGGTAGCACCCTTTTGGTGCCTAGCTCCCATGCCACACGAAGGAGGCACGAGGGCTGGGATACTGCTAGGTTGCCCAAGCCTAGACAGGGGAAGTCGAGTGGCAGAGGCCGGATTCGGACCACGGACCTTCCGGTCAGTAAGTTCGCGCTCTAACCACTGAGCCACCTGGCCCAGAAACATCAAGACTGATGATAATGTAATCGTTATCGAGAAGGAACTGCCAATAGGTTGGAACACATGTTGGTGAAACGTTTGCAGATGTACTGATCTACTCATTACGACCGAAATGAATTAGGGTATATTTAGGCAGCCGCAAATTCCGACCGAGAAACAAACCACATAAGTTGCAAAAGGTCGAATGAGCTCGGACGACAGTCGAACTCCTCGAGGCCAAGAGACGCTGTCTGACAGTACTTTCCACGCCATGTACAGACTTTGTACAACCGGTTACCTAAATACGCTGTCTATCCTCCGAAAGCAATAACGCACGAAACGGATATTGCATAGTCAATCCTATCGACATCGCAGCCAAAACATGTCCGTGCAACGTCACTACTGATAGTGATCTTGACTTGTTGCACAACCAGAAAGCCTATTTCAGGTCTTAAGTCGTAAGAGCGAGATAGGACAGAGAAGGACCTGACCCATCAAAAGTGACGAACTGAATAAACTAAGCTCGTGGGTTGGGGTTTTCAGACACGAAGCATGGTCCTGCCAAAATATAAACATCCGATTCAATGAGATTCATGCCCATGTGAATTCTCCAAGCGTGTAGCACTGAAAGTTCAAGAACATCACGAAATTATGAACAACTTAAGTTTTAACAAATCCCAAGGATCAGACGCAGGAGTGCGAACCTGTGGACACGAAGTTGACACATTCCTCCTTCGTCATATCTTTTCGGAATTCTCTGTCGAAGTAGCCATAGATATAAGTGCTCCCGGAGCCACCGATTACTGCCGGCTGCTTTAGAAGCATACCTCCTAGAGGAATAGAATATATCTGAAAGTATGATATGAAAGGATAGCACAAAACTACCTGTCCACCACCAGATTCGTCCCAACCAGCAACAAATAATCCGGCACTGAGGTCATCCCGGTAACTGTAGCACAAAGAGCGACACGTGACAGCAGCTTCTAAGACGGTTGGGTCTTTATTCATTTGCATCCGGTGGAAGTCCAGCTGATAACGGACGATATCAGCAACTTTCTGTGTGTCTGCGGCTGATCCAGACCGACAACAGTAGATGTTCTTTGCCAAAGGCGTCAATTTGTCGGTCACGCGATTGACAACATAAGTTCTTCGAATTATAAATAAGCACATCCACAATAGGCTTACCCAGAAGATGTCCTCGAGTCGGCCCCAATGACAACACCTCCGTTATATTGACAAGCGAACAGGGTAGTCTTCGGAGAAGGCGATGAAAAAATCTACACGGACTTACTCCAGTGCTAACTTCGCCTCGATATGGTACTTTGAATTCCGCGAATTTTCCACTGCAACCCACGGGACCCACAGAGTCTAAGCCAATCATGACGAAGCAGTGGGAATCAAAGAAGGCGCCCGAAGTCACAGTTCGCTGTTTTGCACGAAGTCACAGTTCACCGTTTCGCACGCAGTCTGTCATTAGGGTTCAATAGTAAGTAGGTATTGGGGATCTGCAACCACATTTGCTGGGTCTCAGAGAACGACATTCGCCTCCAATTTTCATCGATAGGAATTACCATCAATTCCCATTTCCAGAGACTCCCCGTCCATAGGTGCTTTCATTGTGTGTGGAAACTTGGAATCAAATAGACGCACGGAGCAGAAGGGTTCCGTGAGTTTGCACTCGGGCAGGATGGCAAAGCTCCTTGGCTCAAACATGTAGGCTGTCAATTCTGCATAAAGGAAAAATAATCAGGACAACTAAAAACCAAACTAAAAAGGTTAGCCATGATGAATCTTACCCTCAGTCATCACACAACGAGAGAAGTTGTGACGTTTTGTACCTTTATTTTACTTCCATTATAACACTAGGTATTTCATCAATTGCATAATCGTTTTTTTTAATACGAGAAACTACAAAAAACGCGCCCTTGTACAATTTCACATAATACAAGCGTGGTCACGTGCTTCGACTCTCTCTTCTGATTTCGCTCGCGCTTGCAGCGGTCATTCGCGAGTCTCATATACTAACTCTGGTACCCAAAACATTTCAGACTATCTTCGGAATCTATTATATGTGGAAACTGTTCAGAAGAAGACCTCTGGACCAACACTATTGGATTATTGTTTATTCGCTGACCTGGGCCAACGACGAACTATTTTAAAGAGAACAATTGTTAGTGAGTCTGTTCCATCTGACCTATTTATTTTTGTATACCCAACTTAGCGTAATTATTTTTATTACTTTGCCACACACTCCTGGTAAACTGACTTATTGGGTAGCCAGACCACTACAAATTTGGTGAGCCCGAGTATTTCTAGATATTTTTTTTGAAAACTTTTCCTTTCAAATCGTCGTAATTTTACTTCTTTTGCCCGGTAATCATGGAGGCACACTTTGACTCAGCGGAATTAGTCGAGAATGCAATTAGTATACGTTTACCAGACTATAATCCACGCAACCCAAGGGTATGGTTTCACCAGGTTGAGGCCGTTTTTGCCACCCGACGCATCGCTTCCCAAGTCACCCGGTTTTCCTATGTTGTCCAGCATCTTCCTTGTGATGTAGCAACAGAAGTTGAAGATCTGTTGGAAGATATTCCTAAGGAAAATCCGTATGACGCCCTTCGAGCGGCCGTCATAAGTAGGACAGGGAAATCAGAAAACAAAATGCTGCGGGATTTATTCACCACCGTCGAACTTGGGGACAGATCGCCATCACAAATGCTTCGCCACATGCGCAGTCTCCTCTGCGGCCGTAAGCTAGCAGAGGAGATCATGGCCCAACTATGGCTCGACAAACTCCCACCCTCCATGTCCCACGTCATCAGCGCTTTCGTTGATGACCACAGCTTAGAGCAGCTAGCCCGGATGGCGGATAAGATACACGAAACATACCCCAGTAACTCCGTAAACTCCGTCTCCCGCCCTGCACCCACTACAGATTCCGACCCGCTTCTTGCTTCTATATCGCACCTACAAACCAAATTTGACGCTTTGACCGATCGCCTACAACGGTTAGAGATCAACAGGCATCGACCACGTTCACGATCCAGATCGTCATCTCGTGCCCGTCTCCCTTGGTGCTGGTATCACCAAACTTATGGCCCAAAAGCACGCAAGTGTCAACCACCTTGTTCTTTCAAGCCGCGTTCCAACACCCCTTTAAACACCCCGGCCAGTCAGTAACGGCGACGACTGTCTGTGGCCCTCCTCGCACTAGTCGCCTGTTCCACATCACCGATCGTTCAAGTGGTCTACGTTTCCTCGTAGATACGGGAGCTGAAGTTAGTGTGCTACCACATAAGAATCCACTTCCCGATTCTGCTTCTTTCTCGTTACAAGCCGCTAACGGTACCCGCATCGCTACATACGGCGAACGTTCCCTCACCCTTGACCTTGGATTGCGACGTGCGTTCAAGTGGATCTTCCTTTTGGCCGACGTCCAAACACCCATCATCGGTGCAGATTTCCTGACCCATTACAATCTATCTGTCGACGTGCGACACAAACGTCTTTTAGACACGCTTACATCTCTCTCAGTCAACGGAATTAGTGCCCCAACTTCATCCACAGGTATCCGCGTTATCTTACCGGATTCACATTTTGCTGACATACTTAGGGATTTTCCAACCCTTACTCACCCATGTCAGTACACCCAACCGGTCACTCATTCCGTCGTTCACCACATTCAGACGAGAGGTCCACCTGTCCATGTCAACCCCCGCCGACTCCATCCGGATAAGCTACAAATCGCAAAACACGAGTTCGAACACATGCTCGAACTCGGCATCATCCGCCCTTCATCGAGTCATTGGTCATCACCCCTACATATGGTACCTAAGAAATCTAAAGGTGATTGGAGACCCTGTGGAGATTACCGTTCTCTCAACAACGCTACTATCCCAGACAGGTATCCCATCCCACATATCCACGATTTTGCAAGTACCCTATGCCATACAAACATTTTCTCCAAACTCGATCTCGTAAGAGCATACTACCACATACCCGTAGCTCCGGATGACATTCCCAAAACAGCCATCACAACACCGTTTGGCCTTTTCGAATTCACGCGTATGCCCTTTGGTCTTCGAAATGCAGCCCAAACGTTTCAACGTTTCATGGACGAGGTTTTACGTGGCTTACCGTTTGTGTACGCCTACCTTGACGATGTTTTAGTCGCTAGCACCTCCCCAGCTGAACATACAGCTCATCTCAGAGCAGTGTTTGAACGTTTTTCCACTTACAACATACGTTTGAACATTGACAAATGCTTATTCGGTGTTACTAGCCTGGATTTTCTTGGCCACCACATTGACGCCACAGGTATTTCACCATTACCCGATCGCATTTTGGCCTTAGAGTCATTTCCCATGCCCACAACTATCACTCAACTTCGTCGTTTCATTGGTATCATCAACTACTACCGGCGATTCATCCCTCACTGTGCAGATATTTTGAAGCCACTGACCGATTTACTTGGCTCCAAAGAGAAATCTGTTACTTTGCACCCCGCCGCCACTGCTGCTTTCGAAAGAGCCAAGCACGCCATTGCTCAGGCCACAAAGTTATCTTTCCTCGATACTCACGAGAGCACAAAGCTGATTTTGACAACTGATGCTTCGAATGCTGCCGTCGGTGCAGTGCTTCATCAAGTTGTTAACAACACACCTCAACCACTAGCGTTTTTCTCGCAGAAGATGCAGGCTGCCCAAACGCGTTACAGTACTTTTGGTCGTGAATTACTCGCAATTTACCTTGCTATTCGCCATTTCCGGCACTTGTTAGAGGGTAGATCGTTTACCATTCAAACCGACCATAAGCCACTCACATACGCCTTCAACGCCAAGCCTGATCGATATTCACCACGCGAGATACGCCATCTGGATTATATTTCACAGTTCACTACCGACATTCGGTACACTCCAGGTTCGGACAATGTCGTCGCAGACGCCTTATCCCGTCCTGACATAAACGCTCTTCACCCTTCCACGCAGTTGGACCTAGCCAAGCTGGCGAACCTTCAAAACACTGATCCTAATTTTTTGCCTATTCTATCGTTCCCTTCATTTCAAGTCTCTTCAACTCCGTTACCCCTCCAATCCGGAGCCATTTTTTGTGATATGTCTACCGGATCAGCTCGCCCAATCGTCCCCGAAGCTTTCCGACGCGTTGTTTTCGACCACTTCCATGGATTTTCTCATCCAGGAATCCGAGCAACCAGGAAGTTGATTAGTGCACGTTTTGTATGGCCCTTCATGAATAAGGACCTGACATCCTGGGCCAAACAGTGCATCGCCTGTCAACGCACTAAAGTAACTCGGCATACGAACTCACCTATTGGTTCATTTGCCGTTCCTGATGCTCGGTTCACACACGTCCATCTCGATATTGTTGGTCCTCTTTCCCCATCAAACGGTTTCACTCATATCCTTACCATGATTGATCGTTTTACCCGTTGGCCAGTAGCTGTACCCATTTCGGATACTTCAGCTGAAACAGTTGCTTTTTCATTTTTGCAACACTGGGTTAGTAATTTTGGTATACCTTCCACCGTTACTACGGATCGCGGCTCACAATTTCAGTGTAATCTCTTCCGTGAGTTTTCTACACTATTCGGTTTCCATCACATATCGACTACCGCGTATCATCCCTGTTCCAACGGTCTGGTTGAGCGTTTCCATCGCTACCTCAAAGCTGCATTGACTGCCCAAATGAACCCATCTTCATGGTCCTCTTCTTTACCCCTCATTTTGCTTGCTATTCGCTCCACTATTAAGGAGGATCTTCACTGTTCCCCAGCCGAACTAGTATACGGTACAACTCTACGTCTACCCGGTGAACTAGTTTCCCCTTCTGGCGCACAGCCCGAATCACCCGTCACATTCGTCAGCCTTCTGAAACAACATATGGCCGAACTTCGTGCGACACCTACCAGACGATCAACGCGAACGGAGCACATCTCAACCGAACTCTCTTCTACACCATTTGTATTTGTCCGACATGACGCAACGAGGAAACCCCTCCAACCCTGTTATGATGGCCCCTTCAAGGTCATCGAACGTCACTCCAAATATTTTGTTTTAGAGAGAAGTGGAGAGCACGACACCGTCTCCATTGATCGTCTGAAACCTGCCTACATTAAAGCACCTACGACCACATCCAGCAATCCTGTTATTCCAACAACACCCACGCCTACCCAAGATATCCCTCCAGCCAACCTCACTCTTTCCACTAGTCGTTCAGGACGACGCGTCCGTTTGCCTCAGCACTTAGCTGATTACGAAACTTAAGTTAGCAACTTTTGATTCGTTACTTTGGTTATTCGAGCGTTTTACCATTTCATGGTCAACGCTCTAGTGGGGGGGGTAGTGTGGCGTTTTGTACCTTTATTTTACTTCCATTATAACACTAGGTATTTCATCAATTGCATA